GTGTGTGTGTGTGTGTGTGTGTGTGTGTGTGTGTGTGTGTGTGTGTGTACGTGTGTACCCACATGCACATGTGTGCTGATGTGACCTGTTCCCACACACACTGAGACAACCACCCGGTAGCCTCAGCCATGTCCTCTGGTCAGGAAAGGGCCCTGTTTATGATTACTCTATGCAGTTGGTTAGTTTCTTGGCTCCTGCTGCCCTGGAAGTGCCTAGATAAGGTCAGTGTAAGTTCTGATGTCTGCTCTGCTCATCCTCATTTCTACCAACACGCCAAAGTACCCCTTTTTACCTGCAGATCAAGTGGCCAGTGTGATATGATCCTGGGAGGCAGTTTACAAATAGCAGTCTACTTCCCAGTTGTGGACGGGGCAGGTATGTTAGGAAAGGACAATGAATCATGGCCCAAACCTGGGGTCTGAGAGAGAAGTGTCAAGCACCCAGTAGGAGGGGTCCTGGGCATTGCCCCCGCTGTTGCCTGGTGGAGGTGCTGTTTGAGTTCTGCCCAGTTGAACCTAGGAATGTAATGAAGTGCAATGGGTGTAAGTCCCGTGCCTGGCACCTGTAAGTGTCCAGATCTTCAGCCTGTAAGGCTACTTGCTCCCCTGCACCTTCTGGTCATAGGTGCCTGCATGCTTATAGCCAGGCACATAGCCTGACTCATCCACCAGGTCCACGCGGCCAGCTTTGCCCTTGCCCTTCCCTGATTGGTCAAAGCGCTCTTTGTGGGAGCCTGTGAACTTGGTTGTGTCTGTCAGCCGTGACACCGTGGGTGAGGACACAGCTTTCTGAAAGAGAGCAGAAGAGGGTGTTATCACAAGCCCAGGGAGGGTGCTGGGTAGGGACTGCAACTGTCTATTGCAGCATGTCAGGGGGAAGTGGCCAGGGCTGTGGGGGCAACTGTCAGGGAGTGTGACCCTGCTCGGTCACATGCTCAGACAGGGGTTACCTTTCTTGGCTCCAGCTGAGTCGCAGACTTATAGGGCTAACAAGTCTATACTTTTTTTTTCTTCTAAATCTAGCCAGTTGTGGCCTTCAGATACTCCTGGACCATGGCCTCCCCAAGAGCAGATGCAATCACGTGCTAAGTCCCACCTGTGCCTCAGCCCCTCACCGTGACACCAGAGATGACCGGTGCGCGTCCCTCAATGAGCCGGTGCACCTCACGCACAGCATCCTCACTGCTCTTATCCTTGAACCGCTTCTTGGCCAGCTCCTCCAGTGCCTCCTGGAACTGCTCAAAGGTGATGGTCCTGCAGGACTTCCCTCTGTGGGTGACAGACAAGTCCTCAGGCCATGGTCCCCGGCAACCAATCCCACAAGTGTACCATCCCTTCTTGCATTCTGCAGTGACCCCTACTGGTCACAATCAGAAGTCCCTAGCAACTGCTAACAGCCTGGAAAGATGGAAGGAACCATGCCCTTTAGGAACCAGAGTGTCAGGACGTTTCTGTCTGTTCTCTCCTGGGTGGGAGGTCAGAGGGAAAACCTAGGATGAAGATCCCCTCATCTTTTCCAGGGACACCCTAGCCAGTCAAGGAGCAAGAGGGAGCTCAGGCCTAAATCAGGGTCAGAAGTGGCTCAGGAACGGCCTAAGGCCATGGTTATCAAATAGGCAGGAGGAGTCATATCACCTGCCTGATCAGAATCAAGTGTGAGCAGTGCAGAACAGCCTGGTCGGCAGGGTGGCTTGAGGCTGGGACTCTTGCCCACCATGCACCTGGCCACCAGTGAGCATCCCAGAGATCCTGCCACTTCACAAAATCCTTCCTCCCAAGGCTGTTCAGGCAGTATTAAAAAAAAAAAAAAAAAAAAAAAAAAAAAAAAAAAAAGGTTATGAAATTGCTATTTATTTATAATTTTTCTTTAAAGTATTTTCAATTTGGCATTTGCCCCCAAATAATCCAAATTAGTGACGTTTTCAACATTTTGACATAATGTATGTGAGACACAGGTCTGCAAGTCCTGCATGTTCCTGGTCAGTTTTAAGGAAATGGCCTGAGATAGGCTACCTCTTACGGCCAGGCATGCCACTGACCCCAGCTGCAGCGTGCTACAGGTCTGGGACTTTAAAACAGCCGACTGACAAATCCCAGTGAGGCCTTTGTGGCTGTCCATCAGCACAGGATCCAGAGCCACCAAGGTGAGTTTAACAAAATGAAGGTGGTGGTCGAGCGCGCAGTCTGGAGGCGCAGGAAGGTGGATGTCCGAGTCCAAGGCCAGCCTGGTCCACAGAGGACAGTCAGGGCTACAAAACCCTGTCTCAAAAACAAATTGGAGGCCTGAGACTATACTATTCCAAGACACGTTGCAAAGCCAGCCGGGTCTGAGCTCCATTTATCTGGAGTCCAGAAATACCCACACAGGTGCCTAACTTGAACAAGGTCAAGGAGGAAGGACTATTTTAAAATATCTGGAACAACTGCTACCTCTGCAAAATAAACCAGCTCGGGTCCACAGCTTGTGCCACAGCAGAGTTGACTCAGAGCATGGATCCAGAAAGAACTTTACCGAGTATATCTGGGAGGTAATCTGGTGACCTTAGGGTGGGCAAGGTTTTCTTAGAAATGATGCCAAACCATTGCGTTCAGAAAGAAAAAAATGGACAGACTGGCCTTCAGAATAGTAAAAGCCCGTTCTTTCGATCAACACTGAAGACAGAGAAGTACCCACAGAGCTGCAGAAAATACATGGAACATACAAATTTGAAAAGGGGATTGTATCTAAAAGATGCAAAGAACTTGGTAGTAAGAAAGGAAAATTTCAATTGTGCAAGTATTTGGATCAGACACCTCACCAAAGCAAAGAGATTGGTGCGGGGAAGCGGGGGCAACACACTCAGGGAGGAGCCCATAGGAAAGCAGAAGTAATGAGGGAAACTTCTGCTGCCTGCTAAGGAGGATGTACCACAAGCCAGTTTTCGGGGGAAGGGGGGAGCGCTGCTTTAAGAGAAACACGTTTAAGCTCTAAGCTCATGTTAAACCCATTTACAAAGATTGTGCAGATTTTATTCAGTCATTCAAACTTGAAAAAACGCCCAAATGTCTTTTAGCAGGGCTCAGATAAGCATTCTGTGGACAACAGAATGTGTTCTCATGACACAGTAACAGGTGGGCCCCTGGTGGCTGCGCTAAGGAAACAGGCATAAAAATACTACTGTTCCCACACACCCTGAATTCTTACTGGTGCCTGGAGGAGTCTCACACTTTACACATGTCCTGAATATACAGGACATTCTAATCAAACAACCAGGAGAGCTGAGCCAAACGTCCTTTGAGAAATGCACAGGGTCCCATGTGGGGGGTGGGGGAGCACCCCTACTTGTCAGGAGATTGGGAAGCCACTGAGGCATTACACTCAGATCAAGGACATAACATAGGAGCTAGAGCCCCACAGTGGAACTGTGTGATCCTAGAACCTGATAGGCCTACCCGTGATGTGGGCAATGGAGCCTCAGTAGATAGATGCCTTAGGCCTTAGAGGGTGAGGTCCAGTCCTTCAGTACTCTCCGCCCCAGCGCTCACCAGCTACCTTTGAGAGTACTGAGCAGCTTGGCTTCACAGTCCAGTGGTGCCTGGAGCTGACAGCTTTTCCTTCTCTCCTAGGACCTTCGGGGGTGTTGATCTACGCCCCCACCCCACCCCCAGGGCTGCTCTGTTTTGTCGTGGAAAGTCAAAGGCGCTCTTGTCTCCTACTCCCAACCCTTCCTGGGCTGACATGAGGATGCCAGGCCTAGCAGCCAGCCTGGCAACCTGCTGCTGGAGCACACAGCCCTCTATGGCATCCTCGGCACCAGGCACCACCAGTATGAGTCACTGGGGGATGTGGGTACTGGAGGGGTTCTCCCATCACAGGCCACATTCAGATAGAGCTGGCTGCCTGCTCCACTGGTACCAACAATCCCTTTCTAGCCTGGGTCCCCACAAGTCTGTGTTGTTGGGGAAAGGAGACTTGTCTTCATGCCCCAGTTCACAGGGAACTCTCCCCAGGAGACCCAGGCACTTCTTGAAGCAGAATCTCCAACCAGACAATGCCCACTTCTAACTCAGAGATGTAAAAACCTCTGCAGGATTCTCCTATGTAGTGAGCCTATATCTAGAGCTCTCAGGACTAAGGGGTCTTCCTGGGGCTTGCCCTTCCCTACCTTTGGCTCCAAAGCTGGCCTACAAGTGGGTGTCTGCCCACATGTACCCCAGGAGCCTGGGATTTCTTTCCAGGCCCTGTCCCCTATGTGCAGGGCACCTTCTCAGTCTCTTGGGGACCCTGGAACCTGGATGGGAGAGGGTAGGACTTAGCCTCAGGCAACAGAGACCTCTGAGAAAGGTCTGCTCCTCTATGGCCAATACCACAAACACTACCACTCCCCACCTCAGCTTTGGGCCTTCACAGAGCCCCTCGTCCACCCTATTCAGCACCTTTGGGAAGGGGTCCCTGTCAAGGCTTGAGTAATACGAAAACTCTTAAGTGTTGAAGGAGTGGATCACGGGACAAGACAAGGCTGCCTGTGTGTGCTTCTTGGTAGCTGGGGTTTAGAGAAGCTTTTGCTTCTGGAGTAAACACCAGAGAGCATCTTCATCAGCCAGATACTGTGCAGGCAGAGAAGGCGCTTCTGAGGGGTGGAGAGCTATACCCTCCCTATTCATGTGGGGGTCAGAGAGCAGCTGAAGGACTGGGAAGGAGCTCCTGGGCAGTGGAAACCTCTAGTCCAGGCTCCTTCCTGCTGCCTCATCCTTCTGGAGGCTTTCTATAGAAACAGTGAGGGAGCTGACCTGAGCCTGCTGGACCACGGAACAGCCTCCGCTGCCATGGGCCTCAAGATGCCTGTTGCTACCAGTGTCTGCCTCTTTAGATGTGTTCAAGGGAGGTGCAGAAGTCTGGTCGTTTTCTTCAGACACCTATCTCTTGTTCCCTCCTTAGGATTCTTCCATGCCCACTGACTGCCCATCTACCTCAGGACCCAGCCCTGGCCTCTGTGCCTAAAACAGTGGTAATGCTGCTGAAAGTCCAGGCCTGTTGGTTTTCTGTGCCCACAGAAGGTCACTAGAGTCAAGAAAGTGCTTGAGAGCAGGCAATGTGCTCTTTGCCTAGAGGAGCCTGGATGCCACTTATCCACAAGGACTCTGCCCATCTCAGGAAGTCAGTCAGCAAGCAGCAGCACTGCTGTGGCCCTGCTCTGGGCACAGTCCAGATTTCTGTTTACTGGCAGTCACCAGTTGTCCTAGAGAAGGCATCTGCGGCCTACAGTATTGATTCTTCCCTCTCTTGGGAACATAGCATCCTTAAAGCCCCTTCTCACTTGTCATTTTGCGTTTTCTGAGGGGCCTGAGGTTGTAGGATAAATATTCTCCAGGTGACCCTAAATAGATACTACATCTGCCCACTCCCCCCTCCTCACAGCTCTGGCCTGGAATCCAGGGGTGGGGGGGGTAAGGCATGAGGATAGAGTTATGGATATTTGGTGATGTTCATTCTCTTACATGGCCTTCATGCACTGGCCAGCCAGCTTCCCAAGGCAAGATGAAGGAACTGAGGAGCAGGAAGGTGCTTATCTTCATAACAGCCTGATCCTTACCTGGTCACTGCAGATTCACCAGAGCAGATAAAGCTCTGAACACAAAGGCATGGGGACCACTAGCTCAATAACTATCAGGAAAAACAAAACAAAACAAAAAACTCCATATCTCCTGTCTAACTCCCAACAGAGGTCAACCCCGCGTTTCCCAGCAGGCGTCTGAGTGGTCACGCTGCACTGCCATATGCAGCCACTAGAGGGCCATGCAGAAGTAAGAATAGCAGCAAGAAAGGCTTCAGACACTGGGGCATCTGAAGAGTAAAATGCATGCTGGATCTTGCTCCATTCAAGGCCTGCAGGGTCAGGCCACTCTCCCCTGGAACATGTGACTGTTAGCTTTACCCAAGACTCAGGAAGCACAGCCTGAAGGGGGAGCTCCAGGGACATGTGTGTCAGAGGTGAGTAGAATTGTGTGGGCCCACAGCCAGGAACAGAGGCTGCCTCCAAGGGTCCTCACATGTCTAGGGTCTTTGACATCTGGATTCTCTGGGATGCTTGGGTGGGTGGTATACACAGAAACCTATCCTTCCCATGGGTTCCCAAAACTCTGGCCAGAACTCTCTAGACACAAGGCCTGTTCCTAGGAGCAGTCACTACATTGGCTCAAGTGGCTGCTATGCTGAGCCTCCTCAGCAGCACACAGACATCAGAAGAATCCCATCAGGCCTTGCTGACTAGCTGTGGCATGTAAGAAACATCAAGCAGCGCATATGCTGAGCAGTGGCTGACAAATCCTCAGTCTAGGCAAATTTAGGCCCTGCTTTCTACATGTAGGGACTGGCCTTGCTTCCTTTTGCCCTGTATCCAGAAATAATGGACACTGGGCCCTGATGCACCAGCCAGGTTACCTTCTGACTATGCACAGTGTTGGCAGGAATCTGTGCATTTACTCTGGAGGGTACCTAGAACCCAATCCAGATCCAGGGAGGCCAAAGGTCTGGCAGAATGGTAGTCAAAGTAAGGAGGCCATAGGTGAACCCAGCCTCACCCTGAGGCTCCTAAACCTCTTCTTCCACAAGCATATGCAGGTCCATACACAGGCACACAGACCCATCACAGACAGTCACACACAGATTCGATGCCTATGGCCCCCAGTTGTTTCTCAAGCTGCACCACACTGGCCTTGCTTCAGTGTTAGATCTCTGTTAACTGTGTGGAGACTGGCCCTGCTGAGCCTTTTGCAAGATGGAGAGTCTAGGTTAACAGTAGTCTACAATAAAACTTGGTATAGAGCTTCAAGAAATTTGTTTAAAATTTAACACATAGTAACATCAAAACAAACAAGCGCTGCCATGGTGACAAGGACCTAAACAAAGGCTGCAGATACCCCAGCTGGCGCCACGCCTGCAGAGCCATGGCAACCTGCCCCAAAACAGAAATAGTTGAACTTTTTTCTCTCTCAAGTCCTGTCAGAGTCAGCAACTTCCTGGAGGTACCTAAGCAATTTCCTCCCAAGCCCCAAACTCCCATAGGAGGCAAAGGCCTCTGCAGCTGCCATTGCTGCCCCCTCAAGGGACCACAAACACCCAGCCCTCGTCATACAAACAGTGCCATTACAGCCACAAGTTTCCTGGAAATCTCAATTCCAGAGTTTCCCCAGCCCTTCTTCCTTATCCCTTTCAGCATTCCCCTGGTACTCAGGATACTGTCCATCCCCCTACACTAGAGGACAACACGACTCTGAATTTTCTGTTCACACATGCCTGTGAGGTGAGGCCCTTCCTCCAGAGTGGAGGTGTTCCAAGTGGGACATAGGTCACAAGGAACCTCAATGGAATCCAGGCTGTGAGAGAGAAAAATAATTCAAAGGTGGTGAGAGGTGAGGGAATGGCCAATCTCTAGGGTCTCAGGCATCCAGGTGGGTAGGCAAAAGAAACATCAAAGTTTCTGGGCCTCTACTTAGTGCAGAAGCCTCACCTGGGCTTCCCCGGGCACCCAGCTAGACACCTGCCCCACAGTTTGAGCCCACAGCTCACATTAGAATACAGCACTGATAGCCTGTCTGCCTAGACTATCATGGCCTTGAACCCTCTCTGAGATTGGGCTGCATGTGCTTGCTCTCCAGACCCTTGACTTGCAAGGCAGGGATACTCCAAGATTCCCAGACAGCCCAGAGTCTACAATGGGGAACAGCCATGTCCTGGAGTAGGGCACGAAGTGTCTAAGCACCTGAAGTTCTGCATTCCCTTCACATGGCTCACTTGTACAAGTCTGGAGTTTTCAGTCCTCTGCAGCTCTCATCATCCAAAAGACCCATGCCCACACAGTACCATCTACTGGGAGGCTATAAAAACACAGGTTCTACATGGGGGTGGAGAGCACATATACAAGCACACGACATCTGGAAGTTCTAGTTCTGATCGTTTTACAGCCTGGGTCAGTGCCCCTCTCTCATGGCTGGCCAACCTACCAGAGCAGCCTTGTTTATCAGGACCTACCTGTCTGTCCCTGCCTGGAACTGTTCAATGGAACTCAAAAGGCTGTGTGAGTTTCTTGAGGTGAAAGGACACCAGCAGGTATCCATACAGACCGGATCCTGGGTTTACCAGAATCCCTGGAAGCTGATCCTACATTGGGAACATGCAGGGTGTCTTTTAAGCAAGGCCAGTGAGCTCACCATGCCCTTCTCCTCAGACATATCCCCCAGGACAAGTTCCAGTGAGGAGGTTGCACATTTCCCAGCAGATTACAGGACAGACAGGCCAGGACATGTGACCAGCACAATGAGTTTCACCAAGCCTGGGAAAGCCCCCTCCCCCAAAGACAAGGTCCATGGTTGATACCCAAACTCAGGGGTAGTCCCTTTGGTAAAATTTAGAGGGTCTCTAAGATTTTCAGGTCATCTATGAAGGAGCAGCAGCAGTGTGGAGGCTCTGTAGCTTCATAGACATCTTGCTGCATGCATCTGTCTGGACCCTTATGACCTGTTCTGTACCGTGTAGGCTCCCTATCTCCAATAACTATGCTGTCCGATTTAGTGACTCATGGGAGAGAACCATCTCCTGACCCTTTGTCTTGGGCCCTTTCTATGAAACCAATAGACTGAATGCATAACGTTATGTAGAGGTCACATAGGAGTCAGTGCTACCCAGGAGCATTGCACATAGACGAAGCTGTGGAGAAAGAAGTGTTAAGAGAAGCCTGGGACCACAGTCTAGAAGTACATAGGGTCCTTGGCCAAGGGCCTTCCAGCTAGGCTTGGGAGGAACTAGTGCTGATATTATCACAATGGAACCTGGCCAGAGTGGAGGTGAGGACTTTCACAGTGGGTATCAGGGTAAAGGCCCCACACATCTGAGCCACTGGCCATATTCTCCTCTCACACCCTGACCCACAATAATTGAACTTCAAGCCGAGGTAGGTCTGAGATATCATAGGAACAGGGTCTGAGATGGATGGGAGAGGGAGGATAGGGCTATTTGCACACATCTGCTTTCAGAGCTGGAGGCTACACAGAGTTTCTTCTCCAGCTTCTCATTGGGGTTGGAAGCCACAGGAAAACGAACAAGCAGGATGGACCACCCCTCTTTGGGGTCCTCAGGGATCAGCAGAGCCTGGAGAAGGTCAGGATGCAGGGCCCCTTTGGGACATGTTTCTCAGCCTTTATAGTACAACCATTCAAACCTAAGATGCTCCAGACACAGTCTTGTTTACTATGTACAATAGGAGCATGGGGTTGAGATTTTCTTGCTTTGCAAAGGCCTCAAACTCCCAGTACACAGGGAAATTGATATCAGAATTGGGACGTGTGGGGACAGCTACGCTCTGGTTCAGTAATATACACAGAGCCACTTCCTAGGGGCCAGGACGTTGAAAATTCTAGCTCAGCCTTCTTCTACCTCCCTCAGCCAGGTTCTAGAGGAAGCTACATCTGGCTTCAGCTGAAACAGAAAGATGCCAGTATCCTAAGTCCCTTAGTCATGGTGCCCTGCAACTGGTAATCTGACTTATGCCACCTCTTCCCATTGGGACACACGTCCAATCCCTCCACCTTCCTAGGAATGTCTAAACTGGCCTGAGATACTTGTTAGAGCCACCTGCCAGGTCACCTCTACCCTTCTGCTTGTTGCTCAAAGACTCTTCCAGGCACCAGTGCACGACCTGGGGGCAGGGAAGCCAACAATTCCACCAGCAAAGCAGTGATTAGCAACCACAATTATGAAGACCACATCACCCACCCAAAGCCAGAGGAGGAAGTGATGCCCAGCTAGTAGCACCCACAGATCAAACACAGGACCTGATAAGCACACAGATGTCAGAGAACACAGTGGATACATAGCCATTCTCTGACCTATATCAGTATGGCTGCATATGTGAACATTTCTCAAGTGCAAAATTAAAAGAGGTGGACAAGGGGATGGAAAAGGGTGTCATAAACCACTGTCACATCCTGGACACAAAGCTACAGGGGCTTAGCCCACAGTAGATGGGTCTCTGTTCACCTGAGCAGATCCTGATTGTGTCTAGCACCAGCTCACTAACCTGGGTATTGGTTAGAGTTAACTAAGTTTTCTCAAGGCCAGAAGCCCCCACCCTGGCCACATCCAAGGCCAAATGGACTGAGACAAGGACCACAGCTCAGAACATGGCCAAACACTTGAGACCAATGTACTCCCCAGACTGTTTCAGAAACTACAGGTTCTGTGCCCACTTCTTGGCTTCAAGCCTTCAGTATCTGCAAGCGAGATACTTCATAGACCATCATAGTTGCTGATAGGAGTTGTGCTACCTAAGCTTGCATGACACTTACTTGATCTTGCTGAAGACAATGTCCACATCAGTGACAGTCACATTCTTCCCATCGATCACGTGGCAGTCCTTGCACAGTTTGGACCAGTTCTTGCCATGCATCTCCTTCCCTGTTGCCCTGGTGTCCCCATGTACTGCAAACCGTCGGAAGGCCTCCTCCAGGGCACTGAGCTCAGAGGCCGCAGCTGCCCCCTCATTGGCACCCTCTGACTCCAGTGACAACCTCTTAGCAGCTTTGTCCTTGGCTGGGTCTCCTGGGGACTTGGGTGGTGTCTTGTTGGCAGCTTTGCCAGGCTTGGCCTTGCTGTCAGCCATGTTGCTAGGGAAAAAAGAGAAGAAAGGGGTCATTCTGCTGTTCACAGCCCATCTGTGTCCCTGGTTCTAGCTGCAGCATGTGGTACCAGGCAACAAGATATGGCAAGAGCTGAAGAAGAGCACCCTTTCTGGGGCTGGGACCCCTTGGAGCTGAATGCCCAGCAAGGCAATGTTGGTCCAGCTGCTCAACCTGGCACCGACCCTGCCAACCCGACAGCTACAGGCTCTGGGCAAAAGAGGCAGGGTCAAACTCAGCAACAGTGGGTTCTACCTTGGCCTCGCTAGGCATTTCCATGGCCTCCTCCCTAGACCTCACCTGCTGTGGGTGAATGCCTGAAGGGATGCTTAGGGTCTATAAAATGATGCCATCCTTAGGATCCATGCTTATTGTCCCTCAGATCTGAGCCTTCTAAGCAGAGGCTGAGCCATGCCCAGGAGTGGTGAATGACCCTACCCTGGGATTCTAGAACATGAGGTTGGCCCTTGGGCTCAGAGGAGGGCCGCCATGAAGTATAGCCATATTCTTTGGGTTTTGTGGGCTACTGATTCCCAAGACAGGAAGATATCCCTGAGGGCTAAGAAGATTGAGGAAGTGGCACCACTTCTCAGCAAGACTCATGAGCACAAACAAATGCAGATGATCCACTGTTGTTCCAGCAAGGGCAGGCACATGCCATTTCCAGACCACCAGGAAGCAGGGATGATGAGCTCACAGTTAGCATCTCTCTGGAAACTGAGTGTTTAACAGCTCAATGTAAGGAAAGGGACTCTTGGTATAGGCATGCCCCATTGACCCTCTGTGGAGAATCAGCAACAAAGTTGAAACATGCAGGCCCTGTCCAGACTGGAGATCTCAATGCCAGTGTGGTCAAGGCATGCCTTCATCACTAAGAGATGTGAAGTTTGGCCCTGCTGAACTCACAATGGTATGAGTTCCATAAACAGCCAGATTAACATAAATGACAGTCAGCCACAAGGGCCACATCCCCTTCTTGCCCATTCCCTTTGAAAACAGTAATAAAAGCATAACAGAAAAATTCAGCCTCTTTGACAAGAGGCTCTTCTAACTTTTCTCCAAAATGGGGCTTCTTGTGGGGGCCACAACAGGGCAGATGAGGAGAGCAAGATTAAATGGGAAGCTCTAGATGAGCGTGAAGCCCAGGAGTTCCACAAGACCAGACTCATGGTGAAGCAACTCCATGCACCTGACCAGTTGTCTGAGCTTCTGCCCTGGGCCCTCACAAGACAATGAAACATGAGAGGGTCTCTGCCCTTCTGAGGACTGCAGGGCACGAAGGCAGGTTGGAGCCTGGCAGGCGGCAAATTCAAACCAAATCAAAGAATTGTGAGCAAACCAGCAGCAGGGGAATGCCATTTCAGGATAGCGAGGACATGTCTCTCACTGATGTGGCCACTCCTCATCAGACAGTTGCCAAACTGTGTTCTGTCCAGGTTCCTACAGCACACTAGTACCACAAGAAACTGAACAGGTACCAGGGTGGGAATGAGGCTCCTGGGATGGAACTCTTACTTCCAGCCCCACCTGTCCATCTGCTGTAGGAGAAAGGCCTCTGGGCAGACTACAAGCCACGACCAGGGGATCAGAGAGCTAACTAGTGGCTGTGATCTTCTAGGAAGGTGGGTGGTCATCACTCAGGAGTCAGGGCAGCAATGCAGGCTGAACGGTATCTTCACAAAGGAATCAATAGGAGGCTGAAATAACAGCCAAGTTGCTGCTAGTCTGGAAAGCAGAACCCATCTAAACTAAACCCTGGAATAAGTTGGGCTGGAACTTTTATGGACCCTGCGATAGAGCAGCTGACATCTGTGGCTTTCCTGAGCAGCTGACAGCACGGCCACACTGTTTTAAAGCCCCAGTGGCAAGAGTTTTCAGCCCAGTGTGGGACCTCTGTCGCAACCACTGACAGGCACCAGCAACACACTTGCATAGAGGACAGGCGGCAACAGGAGTGTTGAGACGCCCTTCTCTCAGGATGCACCTTGGGGGCTGTAGTCAAGCCTCTAGGACTCTGTGTCCATCTTTGTTTTGTTTTACCCTGAGCATGGGTTACCTTCAGAGCATGTCATAAAAGATTTTTAAAGTAAAAGTAACAGTGGTTTAGGTCCTAACTGTGGCTGTACACAGATCACTAGGCTATCACGTATTCTGTGAAAGAAAGAAAAAGGGTGCTATGTTATCAGAGCACGCCCAGGAGTAGGCTATGAGGACATAGGACTCTTATCCACAGGTTCTCTTTTCTAGCTCACAGCAGCAGCAGTAAGAACAAACTGAATCTAAAGAGAATTGAGGCTACACTCAAGGTACCCTGGAATCTTGAGGTACCTACAGGCCTAATTCTCTCTGTCACTCCTCCAGCGTTGTAGAATGGCCAGCTGCAGCATTTCCCACCCTTACTCAAAGGCCCTGGCCTCCTGTTTTCCTGCCTCACAGTAGCTGAGGCAAACCTAAAGTTTAAGGAGACCTTTAAGGAAACCTTGGCGTGTCCCACCATGTCACTACAATTTCCATAAGGGAAGTTAGGCCATTTAGAAGAGGTTCCAGGAAGGCACCTGAGCCACCAAGTGTGGGAAAGGGACAGCCTCTCAGGTGTACTCTGTACTTCCAAGGTGAGTCCTACATCAAGTATGTATCCCAGATAGGCCCTGTTCCCCCTAGGTTAGGCCTTATACTCCTTTCCTGATAGCCTGTTATTCACTGTCTCTCAGCCAGAAGAGATGTAACCCCAACATCACCCTATGGACTCTGCCTGTCAGCAGGTGCCCCTTCCTGAACCAGTCTCTTTCAGCAGTGATTGCCCTGGGAGCAAAGAGAGCAGTTGTGGTGGAGGAGGGGAGTGGCGCCAGCTGGTGACCCAGCAATGACTGCTTATGTTCCCTGTGGGGTCAAGAGGACAGGAGATGGTAACTTATCCACAGTGGCACTGAGTGTAGGGACAGACTATGTTACCAGATTTGCATCTTCAGACCAGGCCTGAGGAGGGCAGGGGAGGCCAGCTGGAGGTAGAATTACAGATCTCGCAGCGGGAAGGGACATGGGCAAATGGTAGAGACAGGCCTTTTTGCAAACCCTGAGGACCCCTTTAGCCCACGCACAATTTCTTGTGTCCCACATACCCCTAGTTTTCCTTGCCAACTCCAAAGAATTGATTTGTTCCTAACAAAACCTGTCGGAAATCAACCAGCCCCCATTTTTCCAAATGAAAAATACTGAAGCAACTTAAAAAAAAAAAATCTTAAAGAAAAATCTAACTGTAGGTTGGAACAATAGCTCAGTTGGTATTGAGGAGATGAATTTGATTCTTAGAACCCATGTTAAAAAAAAAAACAAAAACAGACAAACAAACAAAACCCAGGCATAGCGGTGTATACATATAATCCTCCTATACACTGGGGAGATGGAGACAGGCCGGCAGCCAGCCAGCCTTGCCTAACTAGTGAGTGCTGAGAAATGACAGTGAGATTGCTTTTTGGCCTCCACATGTACACATACACACTCACATACATACACACACAGTACACCTGAACACATACCAAAACATGCACACATGTACCAAGAAGAAAAAGAAGGAAGTAAAAATGAAAAAAAAAAATCTAGAAGTGACAAAGAGGCATGTATAAGCCAAGAATCAACTGCAACATACCTCAGGGCACAGCCCCATTCCAGGGGGCCTGGAAATGAGGGATTAGCGAACGATCTGGAAGCAAGATAAGGGATCTATTACTACAATCAGATGCCTACAACCAGGACAAGGTGTCCATGACCAGAGAAGGCATTTGTGTATGTGATGGGTGCCCATGAATAAAGTAGGCATTATGACCAGGGTAGGTGCCCATGAGTGAGTGAGACAGCTATCTGGGTGTGGGGCAAGTGTCCGTGGACAGGAAAGAATGTGGGAAGGAAGGAGAGAGCACTTCTGCCTCTCTGGGGTATCTCCACAGGCACACACAGCCATGGAGACAACTCTTTCTCTAGAATGTTCTACAAACTTCATCTCGTCTTTGTCACCAGAGGCTGACAGGGCACGGAGACAGATGGGTCATGAAAGGAGCGACCTCAAGATAAAGCCAGGGAGGTGACTTTTATCCATTTGCAAGACACATACCGCCCGGTCCCTAACCACCAGCCAGGATGCTCACAGTTCTATAGGCCTCATCAGCAAAGGTGAGGTCAGACAGCAAATTAGAAAGACTATGATCTGAAGTTCAAGAGAGAGAGAAGTCTGTTTAAGATGGAAAGAAGAAGAAATGGACAGTATCTACTTGGTGCTCACTTCTTCCTCACTACATCCCACCAAGGCTTGAGCCCAGTGGGACACCATGGAAGACCAGGGTGATCTGACTGTGTGGATCTAGACACATCCAGCTAGCCCTAGAGAGAGCTCATCAGAGGATGAGACACAGACAGCCTGCCCTATACAAGCTCTGTGCTTCACAGTGTGCTTATACACAACACACCCTTTGATAATTGTTTGTTTCATTAATAATACAGCATGCACCCTGCTCCTCATCAGGATACTCCATGTGAGTGGCCTCTTTTCTCAATGGGGACTGTCAGACCAGGCAAGGTGAGCTCCCACAAAGTGGGCATCTTCTGAATGTGTACATCCCACAGGCACACAAGCTGTACCAGGAGCACAAATCTACCAGGATGGAACACAGTCCCAGTCACTGCTCCAGAACAGTCACTAGGCTTAGACCCAAGGCCAGGCTACTGCCTACAGACTGACCTGGGAACCAAACCCTGTGATTCTCACTGTTTCTAGGTTAAACACAGCACAATTCTCCTGGGTGTTACAGAGGAAAGGCATATCAGTGTCCATGTCCATTTATTTTCTATATCCTAGATCTGTGCTGAACTGTAGGTAGAGCAGGACTACATGCTCTAGAAAATATCATACTGAAATTAGGAGGGGGGAATCCTGGGCAAGGAAACTGGGTTAAGTTTAGAGTTCTATGCACATAAGTTCTTTTTTGTGTCCAACATCTAGGGCAACAGAAATGAGCCCAGAACTCTCCAAAGCAACTGGATGTGCTACCCAGCTACCTAGCATTCCTAGATTCCTAGAATTTTCATTTCAAGCCTTGCCCACAATGTTGCCTGCCCTGACTGCCCCTCAGTAGGAAATACAAGGATATGGCCACTTTTAAGAGTGACAGTTTGAGCTTCTGGCTTACAATCCTGGAATAAGAGAATGAGGGTGCCCATCATTCTTGGTTATGAGGAGGCACAGAAACACCTAAAAATATGGAATGTTACAAGCCCCTGTGGCTAAGTGGAAGTATAAGACTGAGCATGGAGAAGAATCATGTAATATTCCAGAGTGTTCAGTGACTTCTTAAGGTTGTCCTCACTGCCCAGACAGAGACCAGGTTTTCCCCAGAGCCCTGGATAGCTCTATAAATGTGAGTAGAAAGTAAGAGAATGGTAGCCCCCATACATCCAGCATTTAGTATGAGCTCCAGGCTCTAGGCAACTGTCTAAGGCCAGTAGTGACTATTAAAATCAAATCCCATCACACATCATCCGATCAAACACTATTTCTAGAGCATCCTCCAAAATACTTACCAGTACAGCATTCTGCATGAGTCCAAATGGGTAAAATCAAGATCAAGAGGGATACTTACTGAGGGTCCATGTTCTGGGATCTAAATTTACAGTAAAGGTGCTGGAAGACCACTCCTTGCAGTGAGTGCCTGTCTCACAGTGACATGCCAGGGTCGGCCACCAGGCTCCCTCTAGGAGCTCCATGTGGCAGGTCCAAAGGATGCTTACGAACTTGTGAGTGACTGGTTCCTAACCCAGCATCAGCATGGCTTCCTAATCACCAAATGTACATGAGCATCCTAATTTGCATGCCACACATCTCAGCATTGTTTGTGGATAGTGGGAGGGGGCTATAAAGACTGGTCAGTGGGTGCAACTGACCTGGGACCTCAAAATGTGTATCTGCATGTTAATGCCAGAACTTCTGCATGAAACCTGGTTTGGAAATAGTATCATGACATGAAGTCAACCTAAATTATCTACAGTTAAAAGGTAAATTGTATGCCAATGCCCCTGTAAGACAGAGACCAGGCAGAACTCTGTCTACACGCATCCCTCCAAAAGGATGAGACCTTGGGGGAAGGAATTAAATCAGAGTCCTGGGCTCCCATGAGTAGAGTAAGACTTCCCAAGAGGGTTGTAAAGAATTGCCTGAGGCCTTTCTGCCGTGTGGTGACAGAGGGCCTGACCTCTCTGGAGTATACTCCAAGAAGGCATTGTCTTGGCAGCAGACACATTTATCAGACTGTGAGCCTGTAGTGACTTTGTCCTAAATTTCAGCCCCAGACTGTGAGAAATACATTTCTGTTCTGTATAAATTCACCACCTTTGGCAGTTTGTTAGAGGAGCATAAGTAGACTTAAGGGAGGGTTACAAGGAGACCAGTAGAACATTAGAGTGTCAAGGCACAAGGGCAGGACTGCCTGAGTAACATGAAGCTGAGAGGGACAGGAAGGCTCTGCCAGAGCCAGGGCAGGGATACAACTTACCTGACACATTGAACTTTTGGCTTCCAGAACTGCAGAAGAATGGGTTTATGTCATGTTAAGTCACTCAATGTGTCATTGTTATCACACATCTTCTAAACTCTGACCAGAAGAGGAAGCAGGATGGGACCCAGAGACATAGCAAATTTAGCAGAGGCCCCAATGGGGCAAAGCTCTGGGAGAGGCCAGAGGGTGGGGTGGGGCTAGACGCAGAGGTCCTGGGAAGTCAGCCAGAGTAGGCTGGGTTTTGCATGGAACTACCTATGACACTACCTTCTGTGAAACCCACCTCACCTTGATTTGTTATGTGCTGGGACAGAAAAAGAAAGGTGCACAGAAAGCAAAGATATAGGATCAGCACATGACACACCTACAGAGAACTGAGGAGGCTAAGCTCCTAAGTATTCTTGTGCCCATGTCCAGAGCCAAGTACTCTTGGGTAGGGAAGATTTGCCATGGGACACTCTCCCAAAAGGACTTCTGCTTATCAAAAAGTAGTAAGAGACTAAAATGGCGAGGCTCAGACAAGGAAAGATTCTTGTTATATACAACAAACACTGGCTTGTCCAATATGGACAAAAAGCCTCTATAGTCAATAAGAGAAAAAAAGGAGATTGCTCAACAGAACAAAAAAAAAAAAAAACTCAGTCCAGGGAGAGCCAGAGAACACAAGAAATGCCAAGCTTTGCTAATATAATCAGGACAGGACACACCTTGCAAGGTGGGGACATTTAAGCCTGTCCTAGGCATTGGTTGGTGGAGTGTGACACACAGAGCAAGGTGGGGAAGGTAACTGGGGGCACTCTGAAAAGCAGCACCCAACTCACTAATCGGAAGGTGCACACAACCTGAGGCCCGGCAACTGCTGGTATTCAGGAGCCTTTCAGTTTGCAGGAGAGTTCAAGGCAGGGGTCTTCTTGATCTCCTAACACAGAAGTACTAACCAAAGATAGCTGAGAGCAGAACAGAAAACCAGAGCCGTGGCTGAGTCTGCTCAGACTAAGACTCGTCAAAGAAGATAGTCCAATAGAATAGCAGCCCTACGATTTCATCTGTGTAAAGGTCAAAACCTACAGACAAGGGCTAAGCCAGTGTTCAGGGATATATGTTCATGAGGTGAAACTATCAAGACCCTTCTACCCACCACAGGACAAAGGGCAGTGGAAACGGTTGCCAGGAGGAAACTGAAATTACAGTACTGAATGTGAGGGAACTCTAGGGGCCAGCCATCCAGCAGAGCTCACTAAGTCTGGTGGCTGAGAGAGGAGCCTGAGATATAATTTATGAAACATCCTCCTTACACTTGCCTGAAACACCAAAGAAAGCCTTGCATTTGGGCATTTAGACCTCAAAGCACAGCTTACAGCTGAGTTACATCACTGTATAGTTAAGGGAGACCATTGACCCAAAGGGGTTGCATTCTTCATTAGGAAGCAGCATTCTCTCCATTACTTTCCTCTGAGGACAGTAAGCTATTTGTGGGGCACACAAATACAGGCTTCAGGTCACAGAAACCATACCCTCTGGGACCCCAACAGGGCCACTCAAAGCCATTCCTGGGACTGGCTCAGGACACTAAGGGGAGGCTTTCCAAGTGCTGCAGAGGTAGGTTGTGGCACAAATCCGAGGGTTCTTTGGGAGGTGCTGTGGGTCCTCAGTGGGGCTGTCCTGGGTGGAGAATGCCCTAGGTGAGCAGTGCCATTGGAGACTCTCTTGCTGGTTATGGATGGGGCTGGGCTGCCATGGGTGAGGTTGCTTTGATTGGGAAGTGTGGGAGATAGGGGGATGTTGTGGACAAGGGAAGCTTGGCCATAGAGGATGCTAAGGTTGGAACACTGTGACCCTTCTCTAGGAGGAAGCTGATCTTCCCAGTGGGAAGAGACCCCAAAAGGGTGTTAGGGGCTGTGGCTGAGCAGCACCAACCCTTCCTTTCAGTAGGAAGTGGGAAGCTCCATTCTCCTCCATGTGGTCTCTTAGAACAGCCTTGCTGGTAGACAGAGATGAGCTGGACAAGACTGCAAGTCCCCTTTTCCTGGCAAAACTGAAATCACACCTCCTCCAGGCTCCTCCTTCAGTAAAGCACTATAAATAGGCCAGCAGGCTCTGCTGAGGAGGCAAGTTATCATCCTCCATGGAACCCAGCAGAGCTGTCTTCAGAGCCCCAATCTGCAGACGTCTCCCAAACCTCCAACCCTCATGGGTGGTTTCAGTTTTCTTAAATGAAATATTCTAATGCTTACAAAAATTTCTGAAACCTTAGGTGACAGTTAAAACAGACAACAACCTCAAAGAATGGAGAAGGTGGATCCAAGGGAGCACCAGGAGGAAAATGTGCCTGCGCAGGTCGGTCTCGCTTCACCATCGATAAAGACAGGGATTCTCAATCCGCCACTTGAATTAGGGCACCTTTTCTAATGGTGGGTCCCGCTGGTAATCACGAGCTTTTCTGAATAGAAGAGTCATTTGGAGACGCTGAGCTCAGACTGTGCCCCTCCCCCTCGCCAGGCCTCTAGGGTCACGTGATGGGAGAGGGGCTGGCACGCGAGCAGAAACAGCAGAGCGCTGCCAGAGAACCCAGCTGAAGGCTAAGAAAGCAGGGTTTGGCCCCCCTGGCCCCCCTCCCATTGCTCCACTTCTGGAGAGCTCGCGCTGCCTATGCAGGCCACCTACCCGCCCAAGAGAGGCCAGAGACGCCAGTGGGCGCTGGGCCGAACGCCATCACCCGCCGTAGGACACGCACAGGACCGATCACCAGGACATCAGAGCTTGTCCAACGGCGCTCCACAAAGGGCGCTACTCATCTCCTCACCTCGTTCAGGCCTCGTTTACATAACCGAAACCGCCGAGAAAGGGTCAGATCCTCCCTCCTCCGCGCGCAAACATGGGCGTTCAAGATGCGACCCTGACAGAACCCTCGCCATCTCCACTGGGAGATGCAGATCCTAAAGGAGAGTGGCGGAGCGAATGGGCACTGTCACCTGCAGGGCGCAGTGGCGCGCTCAGCATTCGGGACCGGCGGACGTCTGGGCGGCTCCTGCTCCCGTACGCGCGGCTCGGGGCGGTGGCTTCTCCTGACGCCGTTTCCCACCAGGTTCCACGGGCAGCGACCCGGGGCCCGGCGAGGCCTAGCACCTGGGTCTGGTGGGGAACGGTGGGGTGCTTTCGGTCCACCACATTCAGGGACGATGCAATGCACTTGGCTCAGTGAACACTCATACCCATTCTTGGCACCACTGCCCCGAGGTCTCTGAGGAGCCACTGCAGATGGAGCCGCTGCGCAGAGGGCCAGGTGGCTAGCCTCACAGACTGGAAGTGTCCCAAGCCAATGCTCCCACACACACACCTTTTCCCCCGACCTTCCCCCGGCTCTCTCCTGCCCCCGAGCAGCGCCTCGGACCACGGACAGCGCCCGGCTTTAGCCTACCTTCAAGACTCGTCCACTGCTGCGCCTCCGCGACTAAACGCGCGCCCGGGGGCGCTGAGCACTCGGAGCCGCCCGCTCGGGCCCCGCCCTCCGGCCACGCCCACACACCCCTCCTCCTCCCGCTCCGCCTAGGCGCGCAAGGAGGCCCCTCCCAGCGGGATCGCGGCGCACTTGAGACCCGAGGCAGCCACTACCTTACAAGGCTGCTATGGGCACCGCCGGCCTATGGACGCAGCTCGACCCAGGGTGCGGTCGTCTGTGGATCTGCAAAGCGTGGGAACCGGGCGGAGGTTGGGGAAGAGCGAGTGGGGCACACCTGGCCCTGGGGCTTCGGGCGTAAACGAGTCCCAAGTGGGGAAGCTGAGGCTGGTGGCGCAGTCGCAGCATATTTGTGCGCAACAGCCAGTTGCTGATCCCTAGGTGCTTGGAGAGCGTGGATAAGCGTGGTGAGATGCTGGCCTTTCCAGTTACCTGCATGAAAAGAACCCTGAGAGTCTCTGCTGATTCGCCTTCCTTCTAGGGACACTTGCCACGGGATCTCCACCCCGCTGACTCTGTGGTGAGGTCAGGGCCGCACTGCCTCAGTAGAAGGTGGTAAGGAAGCCCAGTGGGGCTAGTAATAGATGCAATAGATGCCTCGGTCCTTCAGGTTCTGTCTCAGGGTTCAGCGTCTACCTTCAATTCAGACTCTAGCCAAGTCAACCCAAAGTGTGTGTCTGTGTGTGTGTGTGTGTGTGTGTGTGTGTGTGTGTGTGTGTGTGTCAGGGGTAGGGGAGAGTTATGTCTGACTAACTCATACTTGAGGGAACCGTATTCTGAAACTGGAGAAGCAGACCCAGGCCCTTTTCTGGTACCCAGATCTTTTTTATTGGGTCCTGGCTTGGCCACTTGCCTTATGTCCCACAAAGCTCCCAGCCCTGCCCATCTCCTGGAAATCAACAGTGTAAATGAAGTACAGAAAACTGACATTCATGCTTATGTTCCTATGTATTAGCATATTTTCAAAAGGTGACTATTTTTAAATTTTATTTTTATTTATTGCATTGTGTATACCTGTTTGTCAGTATGTGTGCCACATTCATGCCAGTTGTCCCGGGAGGCCAGAACTGGAGTGACAGCTAATTGTGGGATGCTTCATGTGGCTGCTGGGAACCAAACTCAGTTCTTCTGCAGACTTGTATCAGTATTATAAAGTCCTGAACCAAAAATTAATAAACAAACCCACCAACAGCAACAAAAAGCCAGTGGTGGTGGTGTATTCCTGTAATCCCAGCACTTGGGAAGCAGAGGCAGGCGGGCAGATCTCTATAAGTTTGACACCAGCCTTGTCTACAAGGTGATTTCCAGGACAGTCAAGGCTACACAGAAAAAAATAAATAAATATAGAGTTCTGGAGGCCCTATTGTTAACAACCATGGTCCAAGAGGCCAGCTTGATGGGTTTGGATAGTGTCGTCCTGCAGAATGACAGCTACTGAAGCTGTCATGGCTCTTACCTTCAGGGAGCCTTCAGAGGGGACCTGCACCAGGTCTGAATGGAAGTGCTTCTGATGGATGTCCCTCATAGTGACTCAGTAAAACACTTCTACAGCCGTGATGGTGAATGCTCAAATTCGCTACAGTCAGAGCCTCAAAATGTAACCTTATGTGTAAAGAGGGTCTTGGTCTGAGGATGTATTTCCGTGGAAAAGGTTCCTTCCTGCCTGGATCCCAAGGAACACAAAAAGTGTATGAGGAGTGTGTACAGATACAGTTCTCAGTATCTTTAGCTGAGACCTGGTCCTAGATTATCCTAACGAGTCCTAAATCCAGTGACAAGGGTGTCTATATGACCCCTGCAGCAGCAGAGTACCTAGGCAGACTGCTATGTACAGGTCCAACCTCTTGGAGATTCAAATGCTGCAGACCAAGGTGAGGTCCAGCTGTCTTCTTTGTGACCCAGGCTTAGGGGAAATACTAAAAGCAGAGCAGTAGCGTGGCCAAGAAGGGTCCTAGCTGGAACAGTATGGAGTTCAGGGAGCAAACAATCATCATTAGCAGCCTTCAAAGACTGAGGACAATGGCTGGGGGAATGGGAGCTATGCCGAGTTGCAGATATGAGCTGGATATGGCAGAGGAGCCTGTTCACTGGCAGGTTTCCAGCTGGATTGTGCAGGTGTTCCTGTCTCCTCTGTGGAGGGCCTCAGCAGCCCATGTCCTAGGAACCTGCTGCAAGAGACTCCATCAGGGTCACACAAAGGCCTGGAGGTGCAGCCCACCACAAGAGCCTACGAAGCAGAAATGGAGCCCGCTGTGGGAGAGCAGCTAGTACCCCAGGGTCTCCAAGCAAACAGCTCTAGAGACTTGTTACTGTCTGGCAAGAGCCTTTGTCAAGAGCCTTTTGTGTCTCTCTAATGTCCTGAGGCAGGCACATAGGAAGTCAGGTGCTGGCAGCCCTAGCCTAGACCTAGCCTGAATTCTAGAGTGTCTTCTGGTTGATTCTGCAGGATGTATGCCTTCAAAGCCAAATCACTGCTCTTTGTAGGTGTGAGCAGGAAGGTGAGATCTGGTAGGCCCTAGCTCCCTAGTCCTTTCCACCCTTATGGGGACTAGGCAGACGTTGGCTGAAGGGAGGCAGGCCCAGCAATGAAAGAACGAGGCTGCTAAAGGCAAAGACTGACTCTGGGTAGATTAGGACCTTGATGGCCGTGGACTTGGGTCCTCCTTTACAAGTGCACAACAGGGATATACACAGACCTCAAAACACGACAGTTCCAGGAAAGTGATAAGGGTGGCTAGGCCGGGAGGAGTGTGGATGATTCTGAGGAGGCGCTGTGGGAATGCTTACTGTTGGGGAAAGCTTGGTGTATTTCAAGCCACCATGGACAGATATGGCCAGTTTCTTTTCACACCACCACTGAAGATGCCAGGGTGGTCCTGCTTATGGCTCTCACTGACAATGGGCCAGGAGCAAATTTCAGCCCCGCTGTGGCTGTCAAATGTGATCAAATCCTGGCAGCTAGACTGAGACTAGGGACCTCATAGCTTCTGGGGCCTGGGTCAGAAGTTAAAGTCCAAAGGAATAGAGGAGTGCCCAGCCTTAGAGCCTTGCTACCCCTCTGCTCAGTGTGATCCTGGTGGTGTCCTCAGAACCACGCAGGGCTGGACACTGCCAGCACTCACAGACCTTGTGACCAGGCAGGCCTGAAGATGGCAGCATGTTCTACCTGCATACCACACTCACGTTTCTACTCACACAGGGCCAAATTCAGAGACCCTTAAACAAGGATCTGCTTTGGACCCGAGCTTCATTTCCATCTAGCACTGGAAGGCTTCATGCAGAGAGCTTGTCTCCTAGAGTCACAGGCCTGGGGTCAGGTTGTCACTGAGTTACAGTGTAGTGCACCTAAGGAGTCATAGAAAATTCTGTTAATGGGTGAGCTTCTCTAAGCCTGTGGTTCTTCTGACTGTCCCCCTTACCAGCCACAGTGATACTTCTGGTTGGCTTTGACCCCCAGAAATCCCACCTGAGACTACGAAGAAGCACGTTGGAGGCAGCTTGGCCCGTAAAGAGCATAGAGGTGGATAAGTGTCCCTTTCCACTGGGAGGCATCTGAGCCAGCCCAGCAAGCCCTTATTACCTGATCAGCGGTTCTCACTAGACTTCTCCATGACAAAGTGTGTTATGTTTCTGTATTCATCCCATATAAAAAAACATTTATGCATTATATTGACTAAAGTATTGCATTTTCAGCTTTTACTCTATGAATTTAGCATTAAAAATATTTCAAGTTTTAAGAGCCTACAGTTTTGCTTCTTTTGGCTAAAAACATTCTTGATCATACAGCAGCCTCAAGACTGAGAACAGTGTCCCGCTCCACGAGAGATAACTCAGCTTATATGGATTGCATTTGCAACCCACGGTGATAAAATGTGGCTCAGACTGGCTACAGACATCCATCTTGCCTACAGGAGAACATTTTTAAGAGCTTCCTTCACAGCAGCACACACTGAAATTTGCCTATGCAGCCGTGCCCTGGAATTCTAGTCACACTGGTCAACAGTGGGAGCTCAGACGTAATGGAAGGTGAGATCCCCATGGAGGTACAGTAACATCTTGTGGCCAGGAAGTCTCCACCCCTGTAGGAGGGCACCGACAGCCAGCCTCGCCTTTCCTTCCATGTCCATGGTGGTGATGCAAAGAGTAACATCTTTGTATTCCACTCCATGTGGTGGTCATCTACTATATCCTGACCAAAGACCACCCACCTTCCTCCGCCTGTGTATAGAGGGAGAGCACGGCTCTGAAGGGCCTTGATAGTGTATCACGTGTGCTTCACAGCCCAGGCAATAACAGGCGGGGCCTGAGTATGTCCGAACAATGCTTTGCTCATAAGCAATATTTATATAAAGACATGCATTGGTGCCTAACAAGTGAATAACTGTCACAAAGGGCCTTCCAATAAGATGGAGTTCTCTCTCTCTATGAAGTAACACAAAACAAATGTGATGTCTGAAAGCAAGACAGCAAAGGACTATGATCTATGAAAGATGACATCCAGCTCTGATAGCTTCCCAACTGTGAAGTAGAGGGAAGAACCAGGCAGTGATCTCCAAGTTGGGAAAGCCATGAGACCTGGGAGAGGGTACTTCATAAGGTCCCATACTTCATAAGGTCCTTTAAGTGTTCAGCTGAGCATAGATCACAGATTAGAGGAAACCATGTAATCCTGGATGAGAAGGTGAGAGGATATTAGAGAGAGCAGGGCTGGGACAGGTCCTTCCCTGATGAGTCCAGGAGGCTGAAGACTCATGGTCACTGACTAAAACTGAACTGCAGAAGCATGTGGCTTCACAGAGGGAGTAGTCACCGCTGAATGAGCTCCACTCTGGTCTTATTCATAACTTAATAGGAAGGCACAAAAAAGCTAAATTGTTTATAAACAACTATACCACAAAATAATAATACAGAATATATAAATATCCAACTCTAAGAAAAGGTAAGTGTCACATTTTCTGGCATCTAACCAGAAGTATTGGGCAAAGCTGCAAGGACATTTGTCCTGTAACTAAGAAACAAACCAATTTACTGACCCAG